GAGGGTGGCTTTGGGGGCTGCTGAAAGAGAAAATGGTGCAGATTATGAGCACTCAGTGGACCCCCTTCCCCATACTCCAGCCCCAACTCTTGTCCCCCTGCACTCTTCACATTATAGACACTGAGAAAGAGGGACGTTGCTCCTGAAGTCAGCTGTGTCCTTCCTGACTTGCCTTGCAAGTGGGACTTTTGCAGCAGGGAGAGAAGCACCGACAGGGGGAGCTCAGGGCCACTGCCATGACCAGTGGCCTTAGGGAGTCCTAGGGAGCCCTGGGCAATTCTGACTCCCTGTAAGTGTGAATCCTAGAGAACAGCTTTGACAGTGTCCTCACCGCAGGGGCAGGGCCCTGCCATTTCGATGACAGGCTGTACTTACTTCCCTGACTTGCGCCGTCTTCTCTGCAAACAGCTTATTGGCACTTTCCAATATGTAACCCCCCGTGGACGAGTTGATGGCAGAGATGAGAGAACGGAAACCTGAATGGATTGTGTCCTCAGCTTGTACCTTGAACAGAAAGGAGAGAGCCTCTTTATATAACACGGGACTTCTAAGCAGGATGTTTCTTAAGCAGTGGTATTTTTTCTATACAACATCAAAATGCTGTATTAATATACACTTTTTAATGACACTTTAGAGGAATCCCCGAGGAAATACTTTTGATATGGATTCAGGGTAAAACTAACAAGATAATATTTTGCTTGTTTCATATTTTGCCTATGGATTGGATTTAACCATGAAGTAACCAACATCCTAGATTAAAGTGAGGCTCCTTTTATAGTTTCCTAAACTTTAAGGTCTCTAAGATATTTTTTATTATATTAAAATGTTAGTTTACAAAAGATTATTTGATTTTGGGTGGTGGGCACAAGGTGCAATATAAAGATCATGTATCATAGAAATGTACCTAAAGTTTGTAAACATGATGACAGACATAGGACTCAGTCACAGCAGAAGACAGAGCCTTGCAGGTGACTGCCAGCTCTCTCCAGAGATCTGGCTGAATCTTCATATATGGGCCCTCTCTACCTCCTTTAGCCCGTAATTCCACAGATGGGACATTAGTGTTCCCAAGTAGGGCTATGGAAGATGTCTCCACATAACCTCACTCAGGAGGGTAATTATGGAAGTCGGTTACCAATAGGATCACGTCTGGTCCAGTTCTTATAATTCAGCTGGATAGCTGGTAATTAAGGAGTGGAGTATTGAGAAAGGATAATATTACCTGAGATGGATAGATAGATAGATAATAAATGGTGGATAGCTAGCTAGTTAGATAGATAGAGGGATATGGGAGGGATATCTAGAGGTCATTGGCCTCTCATGAAGTCTTCGAGCCTGACCTTCTCCATTCCTCAGCTACCTGGCCCCCCTTACCCTTTCCGCTCTGGAAATCTGCGTGCATGCTTGTGTATTCTAGGAGTCTCCTCTACCATGGATTTAGGATAAGTTATACAAGCCCAACTAGCGGCAAGGTGGTGTGACAGAAGTCAGGAAGCCTGCATCCTGCCCTGGTTCTGTCCTTTCTTAGTGGTGGGACCGGAGAATATTTGCTTAAGGGCTGTGAGTCTTAGGTTTTTTTTCTGGGAGTTGGGGGAAGTTGTACTAAGTTCCTTCTCAGTCTAACATTGTGACTTTAAGGCAAGAAGATTTTAGAAATAAAATACGAAAGAAATATGAATGAATGAATCAGATACCTTCAAAATAGCATCAGGATAAGTGACCTGGACCTGCTGCATGAATTCACAACTGGTGACGTTCTCTGGGGTCACTGGGGTGACTTCATGGACTCCAACTTTGCTAAACTGAAGCACCTACAATTGGAATTAGAGGGAATGGTTACATTTTCCTGCTAAATTACTTAACTTAAACCACTGCCAACAGGTACCTCTCAGTGGTCTGCCATTGTGTATGGGGTACAAGCGTAGATACTTTCTATATGTAACATGTAAGTGTCAGCCAACCAAAATTTCCCTTACAGGAATCAGTATGAGGTATTTTATACTCGTCTACATATTAGTCATTAGTCTCTAGGCGCAGAGAGCTTCAATGCTTTCACTCACACCTCATCAAGAGTGGCAAAGCCACCATCAAACACAGGTAGGTCTTGTCCCCAAAATCTGTGCTTCCTCCTCTAAGCCAAAGAGCTTATCTTCTTTCTTTTAAGTAGGGAATTAATGAAATTTCCCTTTGAATTTTAAAATCTATCCATGCAGCAGAGCTACAGGAAAACGATATAAAATCTTGGCATCGTCCCACGTGCTCAAGCACTTTCCAGGTACCCAGAGGCTGTCTTGTGGCCAGAGCAACCCATATGCTAATTTTCTTTTGGTATCAAAATCAATTTTTTTTATTTTAACTACTTAGAGTATTTCATTTAGCAATTGCCCTCAAAATACATTGCTTCTGAGTGCTACTGATTTCTTTACATTTAAAAAATTAAGACCCTGCTGTTTTCTAAAGCTATCAATGCAGTTCACCATCTTTATTTTTTTCAAGGCCAAGAAAGTAAAGGAGAAGGAGGGTTGCAAAATGTTGCTGGTATCAGAGTTGAGCAAGTAAGCTTTGTTGTAAGTCTTGATGTTTGAACTGCCACAAGTACAGGGAGTGTACAGGGAGTGATGCAGCCATCCCCTTCCTCCTGTGAAGGTGTTGGCCAACACTCTCTTCAAACAAGGTCCATTCTAAATGGATCACTGTGTACCTGGGGAAGATATATATACACTCAGGTACAATTCTCATGGGAAACCTGAAAGTAGCCAGAGGCATTTTGGTATGACTGAAAGCACAATGTGTGCCCATGAGAAAACAGAACATTCCATTTTAATGTTCGTGTACATGTGTATGTAAAAGAATTTTAATTATAGGGTGACCTCCTGGGTCGTTGACCTAGGAAATAATAGGATCACATGAATTTTCATTGTGTTGAATTCATCTCATAGGAATATTGATTGCAATGTGCAGCTGAAATAGTTCCATGTATTTTCAAAGTCCTAGTCTCAGTAAAAGGGTTCCCTGACTGAACTTGTGTCCACTCACCCAGGAAGGAAGCCAGCTGTCTCACACCCTGTCTATTTTGATTTTGAAGACTGACTATCAGGCCAGGCCCCATTTTGTTGACATGATCTCAAGAGGTTGATAACATGGCTGAGTCAACATTGTTCTCTGTGTATCTCTAAGAGCGTGGTGACCAAGGCTCTGGGGCATTTTTTTCTCCTTGGGACACTCTCTTAAAACTATTAGGAGGAATTCTTTCTGCAAATGGGCAACAAACACATCACAGTGGCTGAGCAATGGAAGGTGCCTGAGCTAGAAGTGAGGAAAGCTTAGGAGACCTAGGAAAGGTGTTACCTTCACCAGGTCAGTCTTCCCACCTAAAAAATGGCACTTGCCTTAAAACAAAAAGAGACATAAAGCATGCAAAACACTTAAAAAATATAAACATTATATTATTATAATGTTAGATGTGGTTACTATTCATCACTTGCAGCCCTCAATATCAGAAACTCTGATATGCCTTTTTGCTATCTACAGTAGATGGTTCATGATTTAGCTGTTGTGTAGATTTAAATCTAAGGAACTCATGTGGTAATGGCAGGTGATGATTGCTGACCTTGAGATTGCCAAGTTCTCTCAAGCTTACACTCAGAGCAATTCTACAAATCAGTTCGGGAATCTTTCAGTCCTTATATGGAGCTTCAACAGAAACTTGCCTTGGCCATCTGATCTGCAGTGTTGCCTTTGGCACCCAGGTAGACCATGACCATGGTGGATGAGATGCTCCATGGAGAGAAGAAGAGATTCTGGGTGGTGCTTGTATTTGCCAGATGCTTGAAGAAATTGATGGCAAAAATTGTGTTTGTGACATAAAGGTCTTCCATTGTTCCAATCTAGAGGGAAAGTGAGGAAGAAAACATAGTTCTAAAAGATGATACAATACTTTGGGTGATGTCAGCAGAGGGGTACAGGCCGTACCCTGCACAGGGCAGAGGCTCCCTCTGTTCTTCCTTCATGACAACACAAAGTGGAGCATTAGGTTCGTGTGGCCTGTGCTGCCATATGGGCCCAAGCTTGGTACAAAGCTGTGCTGTAACCATCTTGAAATTCTCAATTTTAAACAATGGGTTCTACGTTTCTGTTTTGCATTGGGTTCTGCAAATTATGTAGCCAATCCTGAGATATAGTGAGCAGTCATATGATGAGTAGTGACACTTCATATAATAATAATAAAATAATAACAGCAATAACAATAAATAGCACTTATTGAATCTTACTATACAAGAGAGATTGTTCTAAACATTTTACCTGTACTAACCATTTTATCCTTACCAAAACCCTACAAGGAAAGCACTGCTAATTCCTCTTTTACAGAGAAAGAAACTGCTGCATGGGTGCTCCCTCGTACGTAACTAATTTCCAGCTGATTTCTCAACAGAAACCTTGCAGGCCAGAAGGGAGTGGTAAGAAATATTCAAAGTGATGAAAAGCGAAGACCTACAACTAAGATTACTCTGCCCAGGAAAGCTGTCATTTAGAATTGAAATAAAGAGCTTCACAGACAAGAAAAAGCTAAAGATCATCACCACCAAACCAGTATGAAAGGAAATGTTGAAGAGTCTTCTTTAAGAAGAAGCTAATGGACAAAATAAACTAGCACACAAAATAGACCCAGAGGTATTGAAGCATGCAGCAGACCTACATATTTCAGAGGGAAGGGGTGGGCAGGAAGAGATTAACCAAAGAACTTATATGCATATGTGTACAACCCATGGACACAGATAATGCGGTGAAGGCCTGGGGAAGGGGTAGGAGTGGTGGGGGGAGGGGGCCAATGGGTGAAAAAAGGGGACATCTGTAATGCTTTCAACAATAAAGATAAAGTTTAAAAAAAAAGAGAAAGAAACTGCTGCACAGAGAGGATAAGAGAAGTGATCAGTATAACTTGACTAGGGGCAGGACTAGGAATTGAAGTCAGTGGGTTGCCCTCGGGGTCATGCTCTCAACCTCTGTGCTGCACCTGCAAATCCACACCACACACACAGGCAAGTCCACACAGATTCAAACTGCCACACGCACACATGTTTGTGTTGGCCCCAGGGAGATGGTAAATGTTTCAAATTTCCTGCTTCTGGAAGTGGCTTGGACTCATTGTTCGAGGGTTAGGGCTTTCATAGTCCCATGCCCCACACCTGCCCCCTACACACACACACACACACACACACACACACCAGATCAACCACTTGAATAAAAATGACAGCCACGCCTGCCATGACCAAAGGCTTCACATGCAGCCAAATGCCTGGACACACCCAGGTGTGTGGGGGAATCTGTGGGTACTGGCCAATGATCATCTTTCTTTCTGCATGTTTTGCTTTCGTAATGGCTTATAACACACCCTACAATTACCAAAATATATGTGTACCAGACGACGCGGACACTCATCATTCCACAGGAAACTTTCTTGTGGAAGTGGTTTCCCAGAGCTGGGGAGGAGCTGGGTGGCCCAGGAAGAGGCATGCCCTGCGGCTCCCGTCTAGGTTCACACGGCAGGGCTCCCCAGCCGGGCCAGCACTCACTCCTCTGCCTAACCCTCGGATGTCTTATGTGAACACTTGAGTCATGAGCATTTCTTTATAAGAAAGTGATTACAATTTGTACCAACATTTCTCACTTGAAATGCTACCTGATAACATACATTATCAAGACAAAATAGTAAATTAAGTGACACTTGTCCCTGAAACTCTCTCACCTCTTCTTACGGTTTAATCTTCACAGGATTCCTATGAGACACATACTCTGATCTTCATTGAAAGCATAGGTCCTATCCTGATGCTCAGAGAGGTTAACTAACTTGTACAAGGTCACACAGTTTGTATGCGATGGTGCAGGGGTTCAAGCCTAGGTCTGCTTTGGAAACCCAGTCTATCTAGCGCCCCACACTGCCTCACCTGCTGGCGATCAACTTCACTCCGCTGGGTAAGAGTTTAGGCGAGCTTCTCGTTTGAGAAATGCTAGAAAGAGGGAATAAAAATAAGGTTGCAAGTCTGTAATGCTCCTAGAAGGCTCATTAAGTGGAAAAAAAAATACTGTATTTTTTCTTTTGCTTCATTACTGAGATTAGATGAGTAGAATGGGTCAGAAATTTATTTCCCTTTCCTTTTTCTGATTTTAAAGTGTTTTTATAATTAATGTCTTACTGGGTAGATATTTTTTGTAAGATATTTTTTGTAATGTTTGGGGGGAAAACTGAGGATTAATAAATAAAATATTTCTTTATTCTCATATGAAGAAAACAAATAAGAGATCAGAGCCATAAAGTAAATGTAGGCTTCTCTGGCAGCTACCTCTTTATAATAACCTGCATAGTCGGTCACCTGGACACTAACAAAATTCCAGTGTCAAGACAAACTATCAGAGAGGGCATTTAATGCCAAAGAATTTCAGATGACTTTACACAGAAAAAAAGGAGATAAATTTTCCCAGATGCATTTACTTCTTTTTTTAAAAAAAATCTTTCTCCTCCCATTGCCCCCTGCCACCCAAAAATAGTCTAAATTTTATTTTTAAAATAAGGTGCAATTAACTGCATTTAACATAAAAAATAATATCTGATGTCTGTATTGCAGTTGCCAAATTTCTTCAACTGGGTTGTTTTGTTTAATTTGCATAATTACTTACCCAGTAAAACATAGCAATTCCTGTTATACAGATGAAAATATGAAGACATAGGTTTTACGGCTAGTCAGTTTCAAAGCCTCGACGAAATATCAGCCTTCTGATTGCAAGACTAGGGCTTTTCCTACAAACCCTTCAAATGAGGTTTGAGCAGTTCATAGTTTTAGAAATCTCTGAAGGCATACATGTACAGCGTCTCCTGACCCTCAAGACAAGTCCCCGGCTTACATGTGAGTGGGAATCCCTAGGGCAATGTAAAATTAAGTCACAGAGTGCCATCAAATGGCACAATCTCCCGGAACAGGTAACACCTGCTGTGAATTTCTTAACAAGAGTAAGTTATACAACTTCATTAGCTCCTAAGTGTTATGCTCGCAGTTAATGTTTAATATTATCCAGGAGAAGGCTGGATGGAAAACATATGTGGGGCTGGGCTCCATGATGTTTGTGGCAGTTCCTGCTACACAAGTTGACAAATATGCCACTGAAACTTGGCACAGGCAACGAACTTGGGAGGTGCCACCAGGCACACTACCACAGTCCTTCTCGCTGGCACTGGATGTTAGGTTTGAAATTGCTGTGGCACTTAAAACAAATTCTTTGTGACTACGCAGTGCAAAAAGTTTGAAATTGACCATGAAAATCCACAAGAACAAAGTAAAAACAATAATTCTCAGGAAATTTCCTGTCCAAAATGACCAAATTCCCCCCCCACACACACAAATGAAAAGCAGTTTCTTGTGTTTGATGACTTTCACAGTGAATAATTATCTGTTTATGGAGTACTAACTTATTTATTGAACTATTACTTCAGTCAATTCAACAACAAATTTGGCTGATTTTTCCCTTTCACTAAATTGCCTGACTATTGAACTAAATTCAATACATGTATTCTGGTGTTGAATTAATCTAACTGAGAAAGCTGCTTACTTTCTGATTATTTTAGATTAAAAACTCAGTCATATTTTAATTATTTAATATTTATGTACAATCGGTAGATGACTTTCAATTGCTAAAATTAATGTATTTTAATCAATCTAGATTTTCTTATTAAATTCAGTGTCCCACGCTAGCTGGTAAAGAAGACACATATTCTAACCCATCAGATAAAAATTGGCATCATAGCTTTAAGGCACATTTCGGTTTGGTTCATGTTACATAGGCATTTGCTGGCTTCTGAGATTCAAGATTAAGTCTGGCTATAAGTTGAATTCACATCTTGAGCTACAATATTTCCAGTTAAACAACTAAACAAGAAAACACCACTAAATTTCTACTCATCCTCTAAAAACATCCCACATTTTAAATATCATTAGAGTAGCAACACCAGCATGAAGGAGAAGAAACAATGAAACCACAGGTCATAGAGATGATCGTGGAAATCACTGAAATACCTGGCAGAGCCTGAGGTGCTGCCTCACAGGAAACGGTCCTCCAAGAGTTGTTAGGGTTCAGGCATGGTGATGACTGGTTTTATAAAGCTTGGCCCCTCCCACAGAGCATTTTTTTCCCCTCTCTCTCTTTCTAATCTGTATCCTCGGAGTGATTCAACATTTTACTCAGAAAGACATCATTACAATAGAAATGCCTTTTTGCTAAGGCACCATTTAAGAAATATGTTGGGAGGATGACGTCACTCAGAAACCTATGAATTTGGCAATATCTACACATGCCTGTCAGCCCCAGGTTCGAGTGTCCTTCTGTAAACTGTACCTGCACTCAAGGGTAGCACTAAATTCCACCACATCACTTCTACCTTTTGACAGGGTCGACCTGTGGGCTCTTTGCAATACATAAAGGCAATGGACTTCTGTCTCTCTTTTGCTTCTAGCAACCCCCAAGGGGCCCTTTGGTCATGACAAGAAAAAAGACAACCACTGTTTTCCTTTCTTAGAAATTCTCTATTTTAAAACCTTACATTTTTCTCAAGCTATAATTCCCTGAGTAATTCTGGGTTCCACCCTAATCTCCTGTCACCAGCCACACCCCAAGCACTTTTCATCTGACCTTGTTTAGAACACAGATCTTATCTTGTTGAACAGCGAGTGAAAATCCACGGTGTACTTTAATTTAATTTTTAACTCTGCGTCTATCATGGGTGTTGATTGGAAATTGTGACGTTGAAAACTTGATTGAGAAAGTCTCTAGATTTTTTTTTTAGACCCAGCCAAAGGAATTTGAGGAGCAAAAATAAATAAACGATATG